GTAATTGGACTCCACGGCAGACTTAACCCGACGCTGAACCATACGTGATACTGACTCGCCCTTCCACGGTAAACATAGGTATACTGGATTAGTGGAAACTTCAGCATTCTTCTTTGGACTGGTCTCAGTTACATACTTCACAATAACAGACTCGGGGTATCCATTGAGACGAAAAAGCGCACGTAACTTCTCCAACTCCTGCTCCAACCTTGAAGACGAACAAAGGCGACGTGCACGATCCACCAAATTACGCAACAAATTGATCTTATACAGTGTCGCGCAAAACGAATCCCAAACAATGTACAAGCCAGTGAACGTAGGCTTGCGATAGACCGACGTGACAACACCACCATCAATTGACTTCTCAACGAGCACATCAAGAAAAGGTAGACGATCTGACTCCTCAAATTCACACGTGAAATCCAACATACCATCAACAACCTTCCTCAGCAGATCACGAAATTGGAGGCACTGAGCCTCAGACTGAAAATACGAGAAAGAATCATCGACAAATCTCACATACAATGGGGGCATCAAACTAACCGGAATCTGACATTCGTAATAACCAACAAATATATTTGCCAAAACAGGACCAAGGGGCGAACCCATAGCAACACCATCAATCTGTCGATACATGACACCATCAAAGGAAAACTCCACACCTGACGTTACCAAGCGGATCATTTCGCGGAACGAATCTTCACGTAACTCGCCAGGCGGACATAGTGAGCGATGATATAGCGTTTCGCAGCAAATATCAATGACTTTATCCAAAGGGACATTTGTGAACAGACTAACAACATCGTAAGAGCACATAACATAGGTATCGGGGAAGGAGTGGTCGCGCAGAATATCGACAAATTGAAAACTATCGCGAACTACATACCGACTGTATAATTCTAAAACGGGTTGCAACATTCTACAATTCTGCAATTTTCGCTGTTTACTTTAGCTATCTTCTTTCTTTCTTTCTTTCTTTTTGCGCTGTTTTACCACCTTCTTACTGTATTTAATCCACTGTTCCTGTTCCTTTTCCCTTGCCTGTATTTCACCTGATGAGAAGGCTTGAAAGTATACTTGTGAAGACAAAAACTTTCAAGATGTTTGTAATGAGCCTGAAGTGTGTCCTTTTTATGAGTAATAATAATAATAATAATAATAATAATAATAATAATACGAAGTAGTGCTCCGGTGTGGGGAGCAAACCTTTCTGACAAATAATAATAATAATAATAATAATAATAATAATAATAATAATAATAATAATAATAATAATAATAATTTGAAACTCGGATGTTGAGCCATAAATAAATGTGGAAGAGAAAAGGACATATGGATACGAGTTAAGAGTAACTCTCCATCACTGTAACATGATACTATATACAGTCAGAAAGTGCAATAACTAGGCACAAAACTGACAGAGTACTGAAACATTCGACGTCCTGACAATAACTAGGCACAAAACTGACAGAGTACTGAAACATTCGACGTCCTGACACCTAGCTTCAACACATCTCCGTAGCGCTAACCGACAGCCTTCCAACTTGGAAGGTTCAAGGTCTCGTCATCGTCCAGTAACAATCGACATTCTTTGTTCCGTTGGGACTGTAGCTTTTGCTCGTTTTCGTTGCGCTTGCCTTCCCCTCTTTGGTCTTTTCCTTAACCTTGAACCTTCCAAGTTGGAAGGCTGTCGGTTAGCGCTACGGAGATGTGTTGAAGCTAGGTGTCAGGACGTCGAATGTTTCAGTACTCTGTCAGTTTTGTGCCTAGTTATTGCACTTTCTGACTGTATATAGTATCATGTTACAGTGATGGAGAGTTACTCTTAACTCGTATCCATATGTCCTTTTCTCTTCCACAATAATAATAATAATAATAATAATAATAATGCGAAACGTACGTCGTGTGAAACAACTTGTTTTGTAGTCAACTAGTCCATCACAATGTCATGCATGAGGAGTACTGTAGGAGTTTGGCTTTCGGCTTGTACAATTCGTTTTCGCAAAGCTTCCCTTTCTTTACTTATCTTTGATATTTATGACCCACCCAAGTTGGGTGGTGTGCTGCTTTGCTGCTTCGAATTGTAGTTAGACCGCTTTGTCAAATATCGTACTGGTCTCGTCATCGTCCAGTAACAATCGACATTCTTTGTTCCGTTGGGACTGTAGCTTTTGCTCGCTTTCGTTGCGCTTGCCTTCCCCTCTTTGGTCTTTCCATAACCTTGAACCTTCCAAGTTGGAAGGCTGTCGGTTAGCGCTACGGAGATGTGTTGAAGCTAGGTGTCAGGACGTCGAATGTTTCAGTACTCTGTCAGTTTTGTGCCTAGTTATTGCACTTTCTGACTGTATAAAGTATCATGTTACAGTGATGGAGAGTTACTCTTAACTCGTATCCATATGTCCTTTTCTCTTCTACAATAATAATAATAATAATAATAATAATAATAATAATAATAATAATAATAATAATAATAATAATAATAATAATAATAATAATAATAATAATAATAATAATAATAATAATAATAATAATAATAATAATAATAATAATAATAATAATAATAATAATAATAATAATAATAATAATAATAATAATAATAATAATAATAATAATAATAATAATAATAATAATAATAATAATAATAATAATAATAATAATAATAATAATAATAATAATAATAATAATAATAATAATAATAATAATAATAATAATAATAATAATAATAATAATAATAATAATAATAATAATAATAATAATAATAATAATAATAATAATAATAATAGCACATTTCGCGTAGTAGAGCACTAAATAAAGAAATTTAGTGTTTTCCGCTTCTGTCTTGTGGGCATCATCAGCTAGGTGTAGTAGCTGCTGATACTGATTTCTCCTCGGGTGTCGAGCTGCACAGTTTCTTCCAGTCTGTCTTGTCTGCTGCTTGTTGTCGGCACCTGGAAAGGTCTTCCATGGTCTTCATTGGCACACCCAGCTTATTCAGCTGAGCGACCAGACTTGTGGCCAGTGTCAACCTTGGCCGTCCACGAGGTGCTTTGTTGCCCTTGTCAAAATAGCCGCTCATGGCTACTCGCGGCGGATGCACAAATACCAAACGGGATAAGGATCGGGGTGGGTCAAGATAAAAAAAATTAAAAAAATGCATTGGCCGGGAATCGAACCCGGGCCCCCCGCGTGGCAGGCGAGGATTCTACCACTGAACCACCAATGCTTCAGTGGAATGACATGTTAGTACGTGCACTCATTAGCCGCTTTCGATTACCCGCAGTTCCGTCCATTCTAGGATTCCCTACAGTGCATACACCGTTCGATTGCACAGATTGCACAGATTGCACAGATTGCACAGATTCCGTTGTCAGAATCTACGGAAACCTATTCCACCCATTCCGAAGTGAAGGCAGAATTTCCTATTCTCCCGTCAGAAATTACCCATTCGGTATGCGCTTTCTTGAGAACATGTGGTATGTGCTGCATGTAACGTGATCGAAAACATCCGATAACCGATCACCTACAAAAGGAAACGAGCGAAAGTGACTAGGTCATGTTTCTCTGCACACCCTTTGCAAGCAGCAAATGCACCCCACCCATATGGAGAAGGACGTATAATGGAGACCTGGGAAATGCTGTGAGATGAGATTCAAGTTTTCTGTGTGCGCATCATACACCATGGTGAGCCATGCGTACATGCACAGTTGCATTACACGCCATACTGCTCTACTGCAAAAGTCCTAAAAGATGATGTCATTTGGTGATGTGCACACAGGCGCGTAGCACCGCTGTTGGAGGTGCTCCGGCTGGAAGGGGGTCGGAGGTGCGTGGGGTGTCCCGAGGGAACATTTTGAAATCAGGGTGCAAAATCCTGCATTCTGGGCACTTTGGGCATTAGAAAGGTTAAGATGCACGTTATTTCTGACGCGACGCGAAAGTTTAGCTCGCGTTATTTGGCTCGCACGTCGAAAAAACAACGCGAGTGACCTGCAGCTCACGTCGACTCTTAATTAGGAGTTTTACGCCAAATTTGACGTTAAATTGCGCGTCACGTCGGAAATAACGTGCATCTTAACCTCTCTATTGTGTTTTTTTTTAAGTGGTCCGGCCAAAGCTGGACCGGCGGGACAGGCTGCTATGCCCCTGACACTGTCTGCATGTATTACAAACGTCTTTTTTCATATGTTTTCAACCTCCCTCCACTTGAACCTATGCCTTTGTACGAAATGGGTCTTCATTGGAGGCTGTACCTTCATCATATAGTACTTCAAGTAATTAGAACTCATTAGTCGTTGACCCATATGCAGAGTTGAAGACTCGTGTTGGCTTATTGACTCTTGGCAACGTTATGTAGGACTTGCATTATTCATGTGGGAGTACCTATTTCTTTGATGGAGTGGAGCAATTATTAATGTGAAGATTCAAACCCCGGCCCAAGCAGCTGATTACATGCTCTTGTTCTTCTTTTCAGTATGACTCGTGTTAGTACAGTAAAACTTGTGTTTGCCCGACCCTGTACCAAGCGGAATCCTATATTGACCGGCCAAATTTTCATGCACCAAAGTGCTGTGGATCGAACGTGCATCCCTGGATCAAGCGCAATCCTGTCATATCAGGACAGTTTCCACTGCACCAAGGGCGTGCGGTTAGGGCATGTTGTACAGTGTGAGCTTGTGCGACTCAGTATTATCAAGAGTACATAACCCCCAGAGTGTGCAACGCCTGATCCAGCTCTGCATAGGGTCTTGGTCGAGCGGAATCGGATCTTTGCGTCATAATACCGTACACATCTGAGGGGAACCCGGGGAGTCGCGGGTACTCTTGGATCAAAGAATGGTGCCCTGCCTCGAGACCGGCCTTGCGCTGGTGTGGAGTGTACGCATGACATCAGAAGATCCGATTCCGCTCGACCAAGACCCTATGCAGAGCTGGATCAGGCGTTGCACACTCTGAGGGGTTATGTACTCTTGGTATTATACATGATGCAACTCCTAGTTTACCTTTTCCCATGCCAGCTCCTCCTGCAGGGCAGAGATGTTTTCAAACAAGTCTCCATCACCCGTCGCAACCATGGCAAGATCCAAAATGCCTGGAGAATCAGCAAGGAAGACCAAACGGCACACAGGGCTTTACTTTGATGGCGTCAGAAATATTGTCCTGTGAACATGTTCAAATCAGTCTGACCATAATGGAAGAGACTATCCCCTGCTGACGGCCCAGGTTGTATGCAAACTGCCGCCAAGTGGCCTGAGGACATAATGCTGTGCTCACCGCTAACAGGTACACACTCCGGTTAGCCGAGCAGAGCTCAGTCGCCCACCACACCTTACCACAACCAGAAGTGCCACAGGCATTATAACGTACCCAAAATAACGTACAACACCTTCATTCTCATTGTTACTGTTACTCACTGCATCAGTTCTTCCGTCACATGAATATTTTCTCAGATGTAACCAGCTAGCAAAAGCAACTTGAAACTTCAGGTGTTGACTGCCTGGAACCCAAGACTGTCCTGCTACATGTCCTCATCTTTATCAAAATTAACATTTACGGGGAGTGGAGCGTTAGCAACACCCTACCTGTGTCTGTGCTGAGGAGGTCAAAGAACGCCGGGACCAAGCAGAAGAGCTGAACAACCTCCGCTGCTAGCAGTTGCCGGTGTTTCTCAACGCTGAGCACGCACATCATAGCATACATTACATGGAGTGGAGACAATAACGCCATATAAATATCTAGCTCTCCAAGCACGCTAGATGACGGCCGGTGGCCGAATGCATTACAACAGAAGAGGAACACAGAACCAGGTTGTAGAACAGGAGTATGGCTTGAATCAGTGATCAAATTTGGCCATCAGTGTCATGTCCATCTCCTGCTGTGGGGATAACCTGCGTTCAACCGTCCTTTCCAGAACCTAACTGGACTAGGTGCTGTGTGGGAGGTCATTATGTGCTTGCCAAGACTTTGTCAGCCACTTCAGGCAGAAGCACCATCACATAGCTGCGGCTCAAACACAAGGAAGACGTGGAATGAGAAAGTTGCGAACATTAAAAAAACCTTCACTTACTCATGTTCTGAAGCAGGCAACGAATGCTGTCTGTGCTGCTCAGCAAGCGCTCTGAAAGTAGATAAAAGCACATGCCCCACACAAACACACACATCCTCAGCACTCTTCAACTATGTCCCAACAAAACATTCTATCCCCATCAGACTAAGGGCGCGTTCGAATTGTCACTCTTTGACTTTTCGAGGAGTTTCGTTTGTCTTAAGAGGTGGCCTTATTGGCCTCTGCAGAAAAACGAAGCTCCTCGAAACTCCTCGGAACTCCACAACCTCATCCGATGGGAGAGGTGGATTAGTTTCGAAGAGTTTGGAATAGCTACGTCACGTAGTACGTGGAGATGGTCGATCTGATCGGACGTCATCATCGCCATGACAATTCCACTGAAAAACTCTGAAAATGATAGAAACCGTTCTAATGGGACGCCTCAACTAATCCCTTTATAAAATTTGTTTGAACAGTTGATGAAGACAATACGAACGCGCCCTTAGTAAGCAGCAGTAGTCAAGGGCAATTATTCTACTTCTAGTGTGGCTATACTGCGCAACACCATTACATCTACATGTACTACTTATACACACGATCCTATGCATTGGAACGGGGCGATGAACCTGCTGATACATGTTGTATTGAAAGAAGCACGAAGCAAGACAACACCCCAACCTGTGCCTTTTCGCCATTTCAGAAGTCAAACAATGTCACCATGGGAGAGATGGGGGGGGGGGTCAATTACAATGTGATCAAGTGCTGCGTTGTTAGTTCATATTGTCTCCATCCAGAACACCATAACCTTCTGGTGGAATGAATGCAAACACAGAGCCAGAGACGGAGAAAGACGTACAGACAGATGGACGGAAGGACGGACGGACAGATAGATAGATGAAGAGAGAGAGACTCACCCATTGAGCCCACAGTATGCCTTGTACATAAGCGATGTGACAATGGAGCGGAGTGCAGAGTAAAGCTGGGGGTACAGTGCCTCTTTCTGTCAGGACACCAGTAGGACACACACAATAATTATATCAGTCCATGAGTATTATACAGAAAAACTGACATGGCACAGCCTGAGGAAAGAACTGATTCAGTCACGCAAATACTTCGAAGTACAAGATTAATTCAATTTTTCTTTCACGGTTCGCGTTAGACTCGGCTGGAGTCCGCATCCGTAGGAACACCACCACCCTCTAGGATCAAGGCGCAGATGCAGCTCCTAAGCGGTGGGAGGTGAGTAGATCAGACCCACCACAAAGTGGTCAAAGACCGAAATCCCATTAACTGCATCCATGTTACCCTCGTGCCAGGCCACGAGTTCCCAATTAGCTGGGGGTCACAGCACGGCTGGAAAAATTCCTTCCGCTTCCAAGCAGGACTTGAACCTGGTACCCTCTGTTTCTCAATCATGGTCTTTGACCATCCCACTATGCCTGCCTGCCTTATAAGATGATTGATCAAATACATGCTCACTGGATTTTCAGGTGCAAATTATTCCCTCTAAGAGGTGACACTGATTCAAGTGTGCACTGATGCGGTTATTCATCGGCGCACCACCCTACATCATGATCATCCTTGGCCAAACAAACAAGTTTCACAACACCGTGCATGCGTAAGGCAATGGCTGCTGCACAGTGCTATATTGTCAGCTCCCGCAAACTTACTTCTCCAGACTCCTTGTCCAGAATAGCCGCGCTCAATAGTATACCACACAAGCGACATCGCAGCTTCTTCTCCAGCAAGAACAGCTGCATGCACTGCACTTTCCTGCAGAGTAATAAATGCACACAGACAGACAGACAAACAAACAGACATACCATGAGACAGACAGACAGACAGACAGACATACAGACAAACAGACAAACAGACAGACTGACCGTGAGACAGACTGACCGTGAGACAGACAGACGGACAGACGGACAGACAGACAGACAGACAGACAGACAGACAGACAGACAGACAGACAGACAGACAGACAGACAGACAGACAGACAGACAGACAGACAGACAGACAGACAGACAGACAGACACATACACACATTCAAGTACAGCGAGGTGCAAATAATTGTTACTGAGGCACTGCCATCTTGAGTTAGAAGGGGAGCTGGCCTGCTGAAATCACCAAGTTGCTCAGATATGATGTATCTTCTTTTTCAGATGCTCATTTGAAAATGCATGGTAACCCCAGCACAAGATTCATGGACAACAATGTCCACACAAAACGGTTAATGTGTAATTGGCTGAGCAAGAAAAAGGCGTACCCAAGCTCTTGCAGCCTAGCAGTTTCCAGCGCATTCTCGATCACCCGTGCCGGCAGAGAAAACTCAAGAGAAACCTGCAAAGAAAAAAGTATTGAAACACAATGTAAAACAGGAAGCCAGCATTCTCTCTCACACCTCACATTTGCAACAGCAA